TACACCACCATCCTATAAAGAAGCAGGTCCCCAAAGGTAGTTCTCCTTTCTCCAATGGCTGCACAGTGGATTAAAATGAATATGAAACTGGGAGCAAAAGCCCACGGTGCTGCCCGTGTATAAGAGGGGGCATTCGGCTGCTTGCAGGCACAGAGAGCTGCCCTGTTTCTGTGGACAAATAGTGAATGTGCTCTGTGTCAATGTCAAGGCCCAACAGTGTCCCTCACTGCGCACAGAAGTCAGAGCAAGAGCCCAGGCTGGCAGGGAAGGCCTGGAGTGGGCTTCAAGGAGGGGGAAGGTGGAGCAGCAGTAAAGGGTCTCAGTGAGTCCCTATTTAATATGTGGGAAGCTGTCTCCAAGCAAAGTGGAGGGACCTGCTCAAGACCTTACAATCTATGGGTGGCAAAGCTAAGACGATTCTCTGTTCTGATTCCCATGCCTTTATTAACTTTTACACAGGAGCTGGGGACACTTTAGGGAAGACAGTGAAAGTCACAGCAAGCAGTACAATGGCCAGGTAACACAGGAACAGGTTCGTAAGCTCCCATTTCTGGTGCCAAGACAAAATATATCTTAGTGAGTGAAGGGGGCTTAAGGCTTTTCATTTATGGATGGGATTTAGTGGGTCAGAACAGTTTACAAACATTATAACGTGGGCAGCATACTCAGCACATTAAATTACTCAGAAGTTTTACAAACCACTCCTGCCTTCCCCCTACTTCCTCTGGACCCCGGGAGAAGTTCTGATAGGACTGGCCCTTGGTTAAGAACCACTGCTCTGGTGGACCACTGACAGACTGGACCCTGTCAGCTCCCTCAGGAGTGCGGGGGCAGAGGAAGGGTTACCAACCACTGATGTGCAGCCTCACAGTAGCCGTCACGGCCGTGGCTCTCTTGTGCAGCTGATCAAGTCATTTCCTAGCACCTTCTAGAATAACCCTTCTAGACCAACAGAAATACATAAGGAATTAAAGTTTTTTTAGTAGCCACATTAAAAAGGAAAAGGAAACAGGTAACATTCATATTAATAGTACATTTAACTCAACATATCCAAAAAGTATGCCATTTCAACAAGTAGTAAATATGTTATATTTTACTTTTTCATACTAAGTCTGCAAAATCTGATGTGTATTTTGTACCTACAGCACATCTCCACCCACAATTAGCCACATTCCAAGTGTCCAATAGCCACATCAGGCCAATAGCTACCAGGCTGGACATATAACTGCCCTTGCCTCCCTCATTCACCTAAGTTTACTCCAACAGACACAGAGATTTCCCCACAATGCAGCCATTCCTGCCTGTCTCAGGGCCTTTTCCTTTCCAAGTCTAATGTGGACACTTTGGTCTTTATTCTATCCCAGCTCTTCTCCACTCAGTCATCAAGTAATCATCCCTGAGCGCCTACTAAGTGCTGGCTCTTTGTTAACTTATGAGGATGAGAAGATAACAAGTCACAGACCTTGGCTTCCAGGAGCTCTCAGGTTAGTGGGAAATGAAGGCACATACAAGAGAGCCGGCGAATGCTCTACAGCGATGCCTGCGGAGGGCGCACAGAGGAAGGGATGGCTGCTCCTGCTGGGCTTATGGAAAGCAGTCACAGCGATGGGACATTGGGCTGGTTTTAAGGGGCGAGGAACAGTGGTGGAGAGGCAGAGAAAGTGTTTCAGGCGAAGGGAAAAGTATAGTCAACACCTAAGTATGATGATCTGCATGCTTGGAAATGGCAAGGAGTGCCTGGAGTGAGGGTCATTCTCGGAGCAGGGAGACCTGGTGATGGCTTTTAGCATAGACTGGAGAGGACTACGAAGCAAGGAGAGCCTGACAGAGGGGGAACCACCACGTTTAGAAAGGAGGGGATGTGAGCACCGAAGGGAATGAAGGAAACGTAAGAGCCCCATTTTCTACAGACAGCCTCCAGGTGAGGCATTCTGATGGAACCTGGGCAAAGGGCGGAATAGGTAATGCTTCCCAGCTCAGACCCCGAGGCCCCTGGCATGTTTTACACAGGGCTACTTCAGCCTGTTGGCATCTGAGAGCATTAAGTGGCCTGAAGAATGAATGGAGAGAGCTACCTAAGTTACCTCCATGGTTGCCTGCGAGATGCCAGCTTGATCAGATGACATGATGGCTTATTTGACCTTGAGTTTTCTGGGAAAAGGCTGGAGCTCTCAGGTAAGAACAGGTTAACAACAATGTGACATTTGCAGCGACAAGGAGCCTCTGAGATTCATGGGTTCTCCTTTCACACATGGGAAAGCTGAGGCACAGAGAGTGAAAAGGCTTAATTAAAGGCCATACAGTTCGTAAGCCTGCAGCGCAGAAAACAGAATTCAGGTTGGTGGCACCAAAGCCACGGCAAGAATAGACGATAGCTGTCATGAGAACTGTTTTACCTTTCCAGAAAATTCAAGTGGAGAAAGAGAAAGCAAGGCTAGAGACACATTAGGTAAGAAAACCATCTTTGCGAGCCACACAGATTTAGTTTGGCAGCAGTGAACAAGGTACTCACACGGAGAAATGTCCACAAAGCCTGGGTCGATGTTATGTAGCAGCTCAATTCTGGGGGACGGGCTTCCTTCACTAGAAAAGAATTTTTTAGAAAATGTTAATTTCCTCTCTCAAATGGGTATAAATGATTTTAATACTTTCTATCCTTATACTTGTAGAAAATAGCAAATATGCCAATTGGCATGTATCGCCAAGTAGTCCTCATTTGTTTACATTATAACAATGACTGACATTTGTATCAGAACTTCAATGTCAAGCGTATTTAAAAAAATGAGTCTTGTGGCCTTTTGTAATAGACAACGTAGCTGTATTAAACATCCTGAATTGCACAGTGAAATGAAGAAAGTGCATCTGCCCAAGGGGCAGCGTCAGTAGTACAGATGGGACATGCCTCGTGAATATCAGCTTATGTGAGAAAAACTACTGTCTCCCCGTCCAGACTGGCCTAAGGGTTAGAACTTATAGTTAATACAAGTACATGTGAAATACATACACTTCTTTAACATAAAAACAGGGTGCATGCAAATACAATCACAACCTCCAATAGTGCTAGAAGAAACCTTGGAGATCACTTAGTCCAACCCTTCACGTTGCAGAAGAGCAAGGCACACAGTAAGTTATTGGCCACATAATAGATTGCGTGCCTCTCAAAAGAGTATTCTTAAAAAAATGGGAGCATAAACATCAGATGTATGTGGGGTGTACATGAAGCACCCAGGTCATTTTGCTAGTGTATACTTAGCCTTACGGAAGGTGTTAGACACAATTCCAATCACTAGGAGACAACTGTGGAGAACTTGATAATCCAATAGGAGATTGCCAAGTGTTGTTAAAGCCCTGGGATTTGTACATATCTGAATAACCAGTTAAGGCTCCTGGGGTACTAAGGGGCCATGTTTTCAGGTGGCCCAATATCCACACCCCAAACTCACAGCTAGTTATCTACAGCAGTGGTTTGGGATTCTAAGGATCATGAAATTTCAAGAAAATCTGGGGTTGTGCCTGGCAATGTTGTATTTACGAAGTAAGGAAATGTTAAAACAAAATTAAATGTATTAAAAACAAACAAACAAAACCCTTCAATTCCCATCACCAATATTTTTCATCTTCTGGATGAAAGTTCCTTATTATATGCATTTTTTGTTAATATTTTCTATAATTCTATGGGTTTTTGTTTTTTTTTTTGCTTTCCTGATAGTATCATTTGGAGAACAAAAGTTTTAGTATATGATACAATTTCTTCCTCACAGGTATGTGTACCAAAGTGGGTTGGATTAAAATAAAAGTGTTCTGTATGTTTCATAACAGCTTTTAGCAACTATCAACTGTGATCATCACACTCTTAAAGAATAAGTTGTGGCTTCATCAAACTCATAAAATGCTTCTGGGATTGATTATTGCTGTATTACAGCATGTATTAGCTTCTGTCTTCTCTATGTTTCTATATGTATTTATACATAATGCTATAAATATTATATTTCACTATTCTTTTGCACATTATTCCAAAGTTTCTTTTCCATCCAGCCAAATCACTAGAAACTGAGCAATGTCAGTTGCTTCAATAATTTATGGTCTTACTTCTGCCTAGTTCTGAAGCCCTGGCTTTCTCGCATGCAAGATAGCATTGTCTTTAAGAGCATAGCCTTTCAGTTGAGTTTGCATCTCAACTCCACAAATTACCAGCTATATAAACTTGAGCCTTGTTTTTCTCACTAGCAGAATGTAGATTAAAAAGTACCAACTTAGCCCTGACCGGTTTGGCTCAGTGGATAGAGTGTCGGCCTGCGGACTGAAGGGTTCGGGGGTCAATTCCCGTCAGGGGCATGTGCCTTGGTTGCGGGCACATCCTCAGTGGGGAGTGTGCAGGAGGCAGCTGATCGATGTTTCTCTCTCATCGATGTTTCTGACTCTCTATCCCTCTCCCTTCCTCTCTGTAAAAAAACAATAAGATATTTTTTTTAAAAAGTACCAACTTACAGGGTTGCTATGGATTAAATGAGGCAACATATGTAAAGCACTTAGCACAGTGCCTGGGATATATTGAGTGCTGAATAAGCTGGTCACTTAAGATCAACAACTTTCACTGCAAAAATGCACATTTTGACTATGCGGAGAGGGGAAAAATACGACCACAAATACAAGGCTACAATCTGAGGTGCAGATACAAGAATAATATGTAGATACAATGGACATTGATATTCTTATCCATTCTTCTTGCTAGCAAGAGTTCTCCTATGAAATACAATGATATACTTATAACTAATTTCTAAGGCCTGTTATGATACTCTCTCCCATGTGAGAGTCCCTTTAGAAAATTATCAGTGTCAAATAAGGCTAAGTCACACAGTCTACTCATGATGAGCTGCAAATAAAAAAGATATGTTGCAATCTGTTATCTAGGAATTTTCCTTATTTTTCACTTTAGGCAGATGGCACAGTTTAGCTGTATAAGCAACACTACCTCCACTGGACTGTTGATTCCATTTGTGAAATGTAAATCTCTGGCCCTGACCGGTTTGGCTCAGTGGATGGAGCGTCAGCCTGCGGACTCAAGGGTCCCTGGTTCGATTCCAGTCAAGGGCATGTACATTGGTTGTGAGCACATCCCCGGTAGGGAGTGTGCAGGAGGCAGCTGATCGATGTTTCTCTCTCATTGATGTTTCTGACTCTCTGTCCCTCTCCATTCCTTTCTGTAAAAAAAAAAAAATCAATAAAATATATTTTTTTAAAAAAGTAAATCTCTGAATAATGACTGATGATGTTTATAGTAAGTGATTTTTCAATACTCACACAAGTTCCTTGTTTTTAGGTGAACCAAGGGAAGGGGTGTTTCTATGATGGCAACTCTTTGGGCTCCAGGTTGATATAACAAAGGAGAGTTCTCTAATAAGGTAAGCACCTATGGGACTCTTCAGGGATCCTACTGCACAGTGCTCACCTCCTGCCTCGCATACATTATTGGCCAAAGCAGTTCACAATGACCACGTAATGATGGACACCTTCCTCTAAACCAGTGAAATGGGTACGTCACACAAATGTTCGTAACAATCAAATTGGAGTCACTTGGGCGTCTTTGGCTGAGCTAATTAGAATAATAGTGACCAGCATTTATAGAGCATTTGCCATGTTAAATACTTTACATGCATTATTTCATTTAATTCTCGACACTGTGATGTAGACACAACCTTGGGACACTGCAGTTAAGTGCGTTACAAGATTACATGGTTAAGCAGGTGATAGAATTGGGTTTGGAACTCAGGCAGACTGACTCCGAGTTCCCCACTCCTAACCACAATGCTAAATTGTCTCCTTAGTGAAATGTAGACATGGTCTCAGTATCTCCCTGAATGTATTCTATTTCCACTCATGTAGCTTATTATTAGGCACCATTAACAAATATCTCTATTGACTTCAAATGTCTATTTAGAGTTTTTCTCCATCCTCTTGTCTTAAAGACTGATACATTTCAGTATTCAATTTTAATTTACCTCAAATTTCATATTTTCTGGATTAATTTTTTAAAAACTAGGACAAGGAGAAATTGATCAGTGACTAGTTTCCAATATGCTATAAATATTTTCTAAAAGTCTACAGTTTCAGACACTGAGATCACAGCACTGTCCATCTATAAATAGAGTTTCCAGTTTTTGACTTTTATTTTCCAACTAGTTGAAGGGTGGGGCACTAAAACATTTCCCATAAATAAGTGAAACGCTATTACATTCCATACTTCTTTTACCACTAGCTACTGGCCATCTGTCATAAAAAGACACACCCTGTAAGGCAGTATCAAATTTTTACAAAGAGCAATAGCCAGGGCAATATTTTCTGAGGTGAAATTTTGAAAAAAAGTTACTAATTAAAAAAATTCAACTAATTCAACATAGTAATGTCCATCCCATTAACCCTTTGTAAGCATCTTCATCATCATCATTGTTGTGCCCAGATTTCAAGATTCCCAAGGGCCCACCAGGGAGCCAGCGAGTCCGATGCAAAAGCAAAGAGTCATTTATTTCAAACCTAGGTTTGGCTCCCCTGCACAC